GACATACCTCCAAGAAAGCTAAGATAGGAGGCAACCTATTTAGCTGTATTGTCCACTAACCACATGTGGCTTCTTAAGTTTAAATTACTTAAAATGGATTAAAGTTAAAATTCAGTTCCTTATTCACACAAGATAAATTTCAAGTGCTCAACAGCCACATGAGGATGGTGGCTACCATAATGGAAAAGTGCGAAGGTTGGGTGTTTCCATCAGCACAGAAAGTGGTATTAGACAGCACCATTAGAGTATTAATAGTGGCCTAAGATAGTGGCCTCAGTTTTTAAAAGTGAAGTTCCCATGTGACTGTAAAGTGCACTCAATACAAAGAGCCCTTTTATACCTCTTGCCCCACACTGTGGGAACTCAACCTACGAAAGATAGGTAGCCCACCCAGGTGGCTGTCTCTTTGAGACCGATAGCTAGATAACATTGATATTGTTGACAAGACTGACGTTCAGTTGATACAAATTTGTTTAGCTACACTAGTTGTTAAAATAGTAAAATATCTGTATGAGTTAATAAAGACCTGCTGTTTTAAGCTCCTCCACTACGTTTTTCTTATGCCCCAGCAGTATTAGCCATTTTTCTAGGATTCTCTAAACCTCTCTTCAGTCCACCAAATGAGTAAGTTAATGTCTGTCCCATGCCCCAGGGGTAGGAGACTACTCAAGGCTGCTTTCCCAGCACGACAGGCCTTGAACTGGTGGGCACTGCCTTTAGCCTCATGTCTTTAGGAGGCACCTTTAGGAGACACCACTTCCTCCAGGTCTTTCAAGAGACTCCCCTCCCCTATCACTGCTATAGTCTAGATTTGCATCATAGAACCATTGGCCTCAAGAAGACCTTATAACCATTCTCATCCAGCCTTCTTATTTTACGAAATAAATCCAGTCCCTGAGAGTCACTCATCTAGTTTGTGGCTGATGCAGACATAAAACTCCTAATGTGAAACTTTTTTATTTGTTTGGTTTTGCAACATCTTCCTGTCCGTTTCCTTAACTGTGAAATGGGGATTAATAGCTTGATTTCTTTATACCTCACAAAATTGTTATTAAAAAGAAAAATGATGCCCAGAATTCCGTGTGTGTCAACACTCTTGTACACATTCTCATTTAATCCTCACAAGAACCTGTGGGAGGTGTTAGGCTCCGAGGCTGTGAGTCACCTGCCCAACATAACAGAAAAAAGCTAGTGTGAGCAGAAAGCTGTACATCTCTCGTGGTTTGGAAAGCTGTATACTCTTTTTACGTAAGATAACATAACCATGTGGCTTCACTAGTGTTTAGCCTGTGGCATTCAAGATTTAGTGACACTGAAGGTAGTAACTTTATTCCAGTGATGCACTTTATTTAATTATTTATTTTTCTTTGATAATGTGCCAATTGCACAGACTTTGGTTCAGCATTGAAACAGAAGTGGGCTGCTTTGAAGTATATTTTTAAAATGAGAGTATCCAAATTTGTAATTAGCTTTACAAATACTGATTGTACAGTTGGAGGATCTAAAGAGCTTCAGGAAAGCATTTGTGTTATTAGTGGTGATTTTTTTTTTTTTTTTGGATTTTCCCCCACCCAAGCAATTAAAAAAATAAAGTATGCTCTTTGAGGAGTCATTTCCTCTATTACCACCTTATTTTTCACATCTTAGAGTCCTCATGTGCTTAGAAAATTAACCATACATCTGATTGTGGCAAAGAAAAATCATTTATAAGTCATTTTACCTACTTTGATACCCAATTTTCAGGAGAATACTTCTTAAATTATAGATGGAGAAGCCACAGTGAAGGAAATGGTCCACTTCTCAGTACAGCTTTGGTCTTTGGATCATTTTAACAGAAACAATTCCTACTTTTAAGTGAGACTATTGGGAAAGATAAATTTAATTCACTTCCAGAGTAAAGTTGAAATATTTTGAACCCCTTCCCCCTACACCTTAGCCATTTTATAGTATGTGGTGCAGAAACTGAGTTTATAGATAAGGGGAAGAGTAAGGTTATTTCATTCAATATAACAAAAAAATTGCTTTAATTTTCTCTTATTAGCATATGAAAATTGTGGCATTCTCTACACCAAATATTCTATAAGTTCACATATATATAAAGGGGGAAAGAAAGAAAGCTTATTAGAAAAATCTATAAATGGAAAGGGACTTGAGGCTAAAAGCCCTGCTGTTGCAATCCTAATTTGTGTTCACTGTTGGGAAGAATACATTCGTGTATATGCATGTTAAAATATGTATCATGGATATGCCTCCATGTCTCTCCATGGACACCTGTTTTGTATTGTGTAAGAGTCCCTCATCTTTCTATTATGCACTTCATGCCAATACAGGACCTTCAGTGAGTTTACTTTTATCTCCAATTTTCTTGGACTTTGCATCATTTTTCTGCTTTGTGTAGGAGCTATAGATGGTGTTAGCAAAAGAGTGGGAAAGTATCATTCATGATTTACAGTCAGACGTGGCGTCATGGTAATAAAACACTAGGCTCCAATAGATCATTGAAATAACAAAGCTCACATTCCTTCAAACATATTAGGGCATAAGAAGGCCTGATGAGTGGGCACATACTTTCAAAACTCGCCAGCCGCTTATTCTTATACCAGTGCACCCAACATTAAATGAGTTAACCTGTGCAAGACAAATGGCACCAGAGATGGCATATTGATACACATGTGAAGGTGAGCCATCATTATTAGCGTGTATAATTGATTTCGTCTTCACATCTCATTCTGTTTCTGAGGCCATGCTAAGGAACAGCATAATGTCTAAAAAGAAGAAAACATGAAAAGAAAGGAAGCCAAAGCCCTCAGTATTGCAGAAGCTGAATCTTCAGCCCACAGACAATCAGTGGTTTCCTTTTCAATGGTAACATGTGAATTGTGTCTATACTCCCACACCCCTTCCATGTTAAGTTGCATGGGCAAGTCATGACTTTCCCATTGTGCACCTCTGACTCAGTGGGGCCTAATGAGGTCCATTCAATGGTGAACTTACATTAACCCCATTTCAAATGACATATGACAAAACAGCAAGATGCTCTTTATCTTCTGAGAAAAAATAAAATATCCTAAGTTTGATCACCACTGATTAGAACTTTTGTAAAGATGTGTGGGGTGCAAGTGGATCTTTCTGTGTCCATAATAAAGTAGGTAATTAGCAAATTCATCAGGCACTCATGTTTCTGGGAAGAGTGTAAATTCATGTGGCCTCTCTAGAAGGTTGTTAGGACCCTTAAAGTTCAAGCCACTTGACTCGATAATTCTTTCTCTAGGAAGCCACCTAAGAAAATGTCCAGAAGTTTAGACAAATCTGATAGTCAGATATATCCCTCAAAGTGAAATAGCTAATAACACAAAACCTGTAATTCTAAAACTGAAAGAAATAGTCAAATAAAATGCATTTCTGTAGAGTATAAAATCACATAAATATTAGAAAGCATGTTTGTAAGTGATTTTTAATAACTTAGGGAAATATTTGCATTCATATAACTTACATTTTATTTCATAATTAAATTTTAAAAGTTGAAACAAAACTCTTGAATATGTTTGTGTATCTGAAAAGAATACTGATCCACAATCCCTTGTCTGCTCTATAAAACAATTGCCAAGCAACTATGCAATGAGGGAGCATATCTATCTTCTAAGAACTAAAATTCTAAATCCAAAAACTTTTTGGGGTTGTTTGGTCACATTATGTTATTTGTAATTGTTTTGGTAAAAAAAAAAAAACTTGAGCTGAACTAATGTAAGGCACTATTTTATCCCACTACTAAAAGTAAGCCTCTATTTTTGTACAGAATTATTCAATGTGTTTATTAAGAGTGCCACTCCAGAATCCCTTAGGGTAATATGTAATGAGTGGTAGTTGCATCACAATACTCTCTAAAATCTAAAAGAAAAATCTAAATTCTGAACTGTGTCCACCCCGGGAGTTACAGGTTAAGGACCCACACAACAAACATCACTAGTGATTTCACTGGCGCCAACGTTGCCATTACTCTTTAATTTTTTATTTTATACCTTCCATATTTTCCAAAAATTCTACAATAAGCACATATTAATTCATCATCAGAAAAATAAATATTGCTAATTTAAAAATAAACACATTTAAGGTATCAAAGAAACAAAATGTCAGACTTTACAAGTCAATCATTTGATGAATATGGAAAGCAGTATGGAGATTCCTTGGAAATCTGGGAATGGAACCACCATTTGACCCAGCTACCCCTCTCCTCGGTCTATACCCAAAGGACTTAAAAACAGCATACAACAGGGACACAGCCATATCAATGTTTATAGCAGAACAGTTCACAATAGCTAAACTGTGGAGCCAACCTAGATGCCCTTCAGTGGATGACTGGAGAAAAAAAAATTTGGCATATATACACGGAATTTTGCTCAGCAATAAGAGACAATAAAATCATGGCATTTGTAGGTAAATGGATGGCATTGGAGAAGATAATGCTAAGTGAAGTTAGCCAATCCCAAAAAGCCGAATGACGAATGTGATATAAAGATATAAAGAAGCTGACTCATAGTGGAATAGAAAGAGGGAGCATGGGGGGAATAGATGAATTCTAGATAGGACAGAGGGGTGGAAGGGAAAGGGAGGGAGCAGGGGGTTTGCAAAGATGTTGGAATGTGATAGACATCATTATCCAAAGTACATGTATGTAGACACGAATTGGTGTCAACATACTTTATATAAAATCAGAGATATTAAAATTGTGCTGTATATGTGTAATAAGAATTATAAAGCATTCCACTGTCATTTATTTTTAAATAAATAAATAAATAAATGTCATAGGGCTTCTACCTTGGTGGAGCCCTGGCATTTTGGGGGCTCATTTGTCATATTCTATTATGTGACTTGGTCAAGAAACACAGCCAGAGAGACAGGAAGTTGGTAGAGAGGTTGTAAAGAGCAGGTGTGAGATAGCAGGAGCAAGACAGGAATTGTTCACTTTCAAAGTTTATTAATGGACAACTCTTCTCCACTAGGTGGACACTCACTGACCTATCACAAGGTTGCCCTGCAAAACTTTGGGGTCCATGTCTGAATGGATTACTGTAGCTTTCTCATCTCTCCCTTCGCCCAGTTCCCTGCATCCTAAGACTCGAAGCCAGGACAGGACCTGGAAAAATTATATGTAAGTTTTGACTAAGGTTTCTTTTCCTTAACCAAACAATATAAAAGTTTTCTTAGGTAATAGTAACAAATAGCCTAAGCAAATATGCATTACCTTTGTTTTAACAAAGTATCATGAGAGTTATAATTGAGGAAAAGAGCAGGGGTTGGAATCTCCATGTTAGTGGTTCCTTAACTCAGTGGTTTTTAAACTTTAAGCTTGCATTAGAATTACCTAGAGGGCTTGTTAAATTACAGATTGCTGGGCCTCACGCCCAGAATTTCTGATTCAGTAAATCTGAATTCTACTGAATTCAAGGTCAATGCCAGAAATTTGCTTTCCAACAGTTTTCCAAGTGATGCTAGTGTAGCCAGGTCACGGACTCCACTTTGAGAATCACTACCTTAACTCAAATGTGACTGGAAAGATGAATGATAGATATAAAACTGTGACTTTAGTATTAAAAACTATTAAACTATTAAATATGAAAACTTTACTTAATGCATTGACACATCTCAACAAAACATTTTAGGATCTACTCAGGACCTTCACACTTGAAAATCCAACCACATAGTTGCCATTACTCCCTGCCAGCCTTCCTCCTACTGGTCTCAGTCATTCTTTGCCCTTTGTTTTCAAATGATGTGACTAATGGTGCTGTTATTAGTCTAAAACAATGACTGCAGTCCTTCAGCAGGTGTGCTCATCATGTTTTTAGATACACTCAAAAAGAGAAATCTTTTTTCCCCTGGATTGGGAATGTATTGTCACCTTTCAAACTAAATCATCATTGTATTATTCCTCCTTCGTACACTGAAGTCTGACTTGATTTCCAGAACACATTCGAGGGAGACAACAACTCCAATAAATACCCCAAGTCAGCAAGTTCAGGTTTCTGTGGGGTCTAAGTTCCCAGGACTGACATGTTTTGAGGATTGGCTTGTATGTTAGCTATCAAACAGGCCAATCACCTGTCTTCTAAGGATAAGAATTATTTATTCCATGATAAAAGAAAGAAGTAGGAGAGTTTGTCTAAATAAATGCACACTGGATATATACACACAACTATACACATGTGAATGGATATGCATTTTACATATTTCTGAGCTTTCATTTTAGGAATTGTTTTTCTTCCTTTCTTTCTTTCTTTTCTTTTCTTTTTCTTTTTCTTTTTCTTTTTGTGTGTGTATGTGTGTGGTGCTGGGGATTAAATTCAGGACCTCACACATGCTTTGCAAGCACTGTATCACTGAGCTACATCTCCAGCTCCCATTTTAGAAATTTTAAACATTTTTTCTTTTCCTTCATTGAGTCAATATGAATGCAAAAATAGTATGACTGATGCTGTCCAGAAAAACATTCAAGAAATTGCTGGGCATTTTAAATCTGTGGATAAATCACTGTGATTTATAACATTTTTTCTTGGATATGATAAATGTTATCATTCAAAGCAGTACTCAGGATTTACAGTTCTTTTATTATAATGCTCTAGAATGGAGAATAATCACTGTTTGTAAAGCAATTGCCAAGCAACTATGTAATGAAAGAGCATATCTATCTTCTAAACATTAATAGAGCCCCAAATCCCAGAAATAGGTCAGGAAGAGAAGACAAAAAGTGATAGGTGGTGGAATACTCTAGAGTGGAATTAACCCAGAGCTGTCTTCTGGGGTGGCCCAAAGGATGAATGGGCTGGTATAAGAGATGACAGAGTTGAGAGTGATAGAGTTAGTTACTGTATCCTTACAAACTTTACCATCTCAAGAGGGGTGGGAGGGAAAGGGAGGGAGAAGGGGAATAGCATGGATGGTGGAAGGAGACCCTCATCATTATACAAAATACATGTATGAAGATGCGAATTTGGTGTCAACATATCTTATATATAAAGATATGATAAATTGTTGTACAAAGGTGTAATAAGAATTGTAATGCAAATAATAATAATAGAGCTCATGTAAAAAAATAAATAAATAAAAATTTTTTAAAAAGACTTTACCATCTCTATCAAGCGCTAGTTATTCCATATAGCATTTGGAAGGAAAGTTGTCAGTTTATGAAGCATCTTCACCATGAAGTGAAAGAAGGACTTGGATCAAATGTCCCTTGTGTTCCTCCTGCTTTGCCATTCTGTGAACCTCCCTGTTTACACATCATGCTTTCCTGTAGGGTAACCTGTGCTCATGGAGGGAAGAAGGCCGCTGTGATTCCTCAAGTGAATCTGGGTTTTAGTTTCCAGCCTGGATCACCCCCTCCACACTTGGGCAGGGCACTTGGTCTCCAAGAACCTGGAGTGTCTCTGTAAAACTCAATATTGTGAACCTAAAACTGCTCTTAAAGTATATTAATTTTAAAAAGCTGAATACCAGACAGTATGGCAAACCCTCAAAATATTGAACAGAATTACCATATGATCCATTAATTTCACTTCTGGGTACACACTCAAAAGTGAACATAGGAATTTGAATGTATAACTTACACACTCAAGTTCATAGCAGCATTATACACTATAGCCAAAACCTGGGAGCAGCTCAGATGTCCATCAACAGATAAATGGATAAATAAAAATTATTCAGCCTTAAAAATATGTGAAAATCTGATAACGTTACCATACACATGAACCTTGAAAATACTAAATAAGGCAGATGCAAAAAGGACCATTACATGGTCCCATTTATATGAGGCATCTAGAGTTGCCAAATTCAGAAGCAGAAAGTTGAATTGTGGGTGTTGGAGACAGAGGAATGGGGAATTGTTGCTTAATGGATATAAGGTTTGAATTTGGGAAGATGAAAATGTTCTGGAGATGGATGGTTGCACTAAAATGTGAATGCACTTAATGTCACAAAACTGTATATTTTTAAATGATTAAAATGAAAATTTTTGTTACTTACATTTTACCACAATTTTTTTTAAACCCAAATCCCATGGCTCACCTTCACTCAAGAATGCTGTGCACAATCACTAATTCATTCTTGGTGGTGACTTTGTAGTTTGTGAGGGGGGAATAAAAACAGACCATGACACCACTCACCCCTCTTTTCCTGCTACCTTTTGGGCAATTTCCAAAGATGGAAGAGGTAAGGATCTGCTGAGCAGGATACCTCAGTCTTAGGAATGGATTTCCCATTGGAGTAAAGATACACCTGTGGGAAACCATCAAGGAAATTTGCCATTAACATCCGTAGTCTCTACCAAAATGCCATTTACACACAGAGGAAATCTGTCACCTACGCTCCTTTCACAGGGCTGCTCCTGTTCTTCCAGCATGTGTTCATAAACTGGTTCAATCCCAGAGCACGGTGCCAACAGTGCCACAGAGCTGTGTGCTCAACTGTGGCTTATGACAGGCCTGGTTCTCTGGAGGAGGACACATAGGGAGAAACCAGTGAATGAGGACTTGTCACAAGAGTCCACATAGTAGAAAAGGAAGGCTTTTAGAAATTAACAGTGGTGGGCTCCCCACTATGGGGCTTCCGATTTTTATGATGCCTCTTTACAATGTCCAAATGAAGTATAATTTATGCATCATCATCAACTCTCTACACTACTGAGAACAGGCAGCATTGGATCCATAAGCCACAGAGCAGGTCAGTGGGTGGCCTGCACCCCTGGGGCCAACATGAAGGCTGAAACCCACCAGAATAGTCCATTGTACCCTACTTTTCTTGGTTTTTGCTTTAAATTCAATGTTTCTAGAAAGCTGACCTTGAAAAACGTCCAATAGGTTCTCATCAGGCCTAGTTAGCCATATTTTCTTCAGATATCCTTCACTACTGTCAGGCTATGTCCTTGGGGCTGACAAGGAGTAGGATTCATGAGGCATAGTACATAAGGATCCATGGTGTCAAAAAAACTGAGAAATTGTTATCCTAAATTATCCCACCTTCTCCTTAAGATATCAAGATTGTGTGTGTGTATATATGCACTCATACATGTGTATGTTTGGCTTAAGGAATCTGTATACTCAAAACAGAGGTGAAATAATGTTATCAAAGTTTAAAGACATATATATATATATATATATATATATATATATATATATATATATATAGTATATATGTATTGTATGTATATGTAGTCAGTCCCCTCATTCTCATGCCGTACTTTCCAAATCTGCTGCTTCACTTAGGTAGTAGAGACTAGGACAGAGCAATGGAAGTTTTGGCTCACTTGCTATGATATCAAAAAGAAAATTGAATTAAAGGTTTTTGTAGAAAAGAAAACTCAGATCAGCAAGTCTAAGGAACACAAAAATAAGGGCTTATTCATCTCTAACGTCCACGCGGACCTACCAACATCCTATGCTTGAGTTGAAATGACGTGGATTTAGAATCCAATCAAAATAAATGTAGTCCCATGAGTTCAAAGACCATAATTTGAGGATGGACACACTGATACACACTCAGACAAATGATACAAGATAAAGAAAGCCAGCAACGACAGACCCTTGGGGACCCTTCCTGTGGACCCTCGTGTTTCTGAGGAATCAGAGGAGCCTAGTTTCAGATGCCAAATTCATGTTTACTGATGGCTTAGCTACCTGGAATCTGACTAACCAGAACCTGAATTAACTAACCTTCATATTCACCCACACCCACCCAACAGCCCTTCCCACACACCCCACCCTACCACACACACCCCACTTCCCTTTTTCAGAGACAAAACTCAGAAAACAAGATCGCTTTGGTTTTCAGTGAAGGGGGAAACATACCCTGGAGGATATTTGTAGCTGATCACAGTGACATGCTGAATCATTGAGAATGTTCAAATGTTTCAAAATTAGGAAAAGAAACTGTTTTGGAAAGCTCTTTAACAATAAGCATTTTCTAGTTATGGATTAACCAGAAAATCAAAAACATCTTCTTGTCCTCAAATAGTCTAGTTAACTGAAATTTTATTATACCTACTATTGTCCCTCAATAATAGTCTAAAAATGTTGACCAAGAAAAACGTAACATTAATTTTTATTCTTCTTGAGAAACTATGCACTTTTTGCCTTTTACTACCTTTCCAGTGCTGTA